ACCAATCCGATCAATAACCAGAGTAAAATACCACCAACTGACGTGATACAACTCACTTTGACTCTGAAGATGACTACCGCACAGGTTGTCGAAACGTCACTGTCATTGTCAACAACAGTCCTATTTAGGACTAAGTTCATCCGGACGATCAAACTCAACTAGTACTTTTGAAAGATTATATTATATATCCTAAGCTTTAATTATAGTAATAGTTATGATAAATTTTTGTCCGGATAATGTACGTACGAGCTAATTCACCGATTCTGCATGACTAAGAAGAAAGTGGCTGGATTCTGCATGGGCACCTGACATCAATACTTGGAAAATGTTTCTGGCCTGCTTTATTCCAAACAGGGGCGGATCTAGGGGGAGGGTGCAGGGGGTGCGCACCCCCTCTGAGATGACCTGCGGTTTTCTAATACAACTGGTATTCTGCAAAAAAAAAAAAAAACTATGTGGTTTATTGGTGTTGAAGTAGAGCAAGAGACAAGTGCACCCCCTTCTAAAAAAAATCCTGGATCCGCCCCTGCCAAACAAATTGAATTTCAAGAATAATTAATGAATTTTCTGAAAACCTGACTTCTTTAAGTATCTTCAAAAATATAAGAGTTTCTTTGAAAATATCACATGTTACCCAGCCTTATTTGAACAGCACCTAGTTTTACTGCATCTGAACAGAACGGCGCCTTCTGCAACTGTTTCTCAAGCTGTAAACCCGCCAAACTTGCGTTTTAAAGATGGAATGTTAAGCTTAAAGTCGAAATACTTTGTTTACCGAAAACTAAAAAGGGCGATGCAAAAATTGAGTTTTTGTCTTAAGTAGCCGGATACTGGTACCGGCCGGATACTGGGCAACATACTGTAAGGGTTATAACATTCGCACAAAAAAGTGCAAACCTGACAATACTGTTTTAAAATTGTCTATTTCAGGGCTCGAAATTGCGACCGATACGGTCGCATTTGCCACTTAATTTTTCTTATTTGCGACTAGAAAAACGAGAGTAGTCGCAAATTTGCGACTAGGTTTTGCCTTAACTGATACGAAATAAAAGGACTAGCACTTGAATTTTTGCTTAAATAAATTTAGAAATAAAAAGATTCATTGAAGTAGCGTCTTATAATTTTGTTACAATCTGAAGGTTTGCCGTAATTTACCGGGAATGCATACACGCAACGATATTCCTTCAACAGCACGCCATTTTCAGCGGGTTCTGTAAACATGTACATTGCAGGCTCATATTTCGTTTTGATTTACCGCTGACAGTCGTTAGTCACTGAGCAAGATCGAAGGAACAGAAACAAGCAGAAAAACTGGAGTCAATAACTTTCGTTGGTCAGGGTAGAAAATGAGTACTTAAGGCTTCATTGTTTCTTCGTTTGACAGTAACGGTTAGTTTAAAAAAAAAAAGAGTTACATGTAAAATAAATCGGTTCCAAGTGGGTTGCGAATCTACGTATACATGAAAACGAGGTTTAGCAAACAAAGATGGCGGAATGTCCGCATGGCACGTATCGTCGTATTGAATGATTCAGTCCTTCAGGGTTCTTTGAATAATCACTGTAGTAACACCCCTGATACTTCAGACGTAAAGCTTAATATATAAAAGAATTCGTTACTTGTTTTGTCATCGGTGGAAAACCTGCAAATGGTAAAACTAAAGGAATTTAGTTACGTAACGTAACCTATAACCGTGTCGGATGTCCGCCCAGTACAAATGTTATTGCTATTTTGCAGAGATTGGAGGCATTTAAGAACTGCAGTTTCCTGCTGTAATATCTGTTCATGATTTGGAAATCTATCGCTTTGACTAAAATAACAGACACTAATTTATGTGCCTTAACGCAGGTTCAACTTGATCGTTTAGATGAACTGGTGTTGTCCGAGATGCTAAACGTTCTGTACTATTAAGTCTCGAAATGACATGAAAGCTGTTGAAAGAATGAAAATTAAAGCGTTAATCATTTAAGAGCCTACTTATTTCTTGATTAAATGGCCTCAATTAATTTCGCGACTAACATTTTCAAATTTGCGACCAAATTTTCGCAACTAGTCGCAAATTTGCGACCAGACATTTTTGTAATTTCGAGCCCTGAATTATTTAACAATTATTCAACGAGGGCGCGTTGGATATGAGTTGGCTATAATCAACTCATATCCAACAAGCGCGAGTGGAATAATTGTTTTATTAAAATAGCCCAAAAAATCTCGTTGAATCTCCCCGACTAGAGCAAACCGGAAAAGGCAAGGGACTTCCGCTATTCACATGTCACACGTCTATCAAAACTGTCAACGCGCGAACGGACTGCCTGAACTGCATGAATGAAAAATCAAAACATTGTAGTAGCGATGAACATTAGTTTTTTTAAAAACTCATCGGAATTCTAGGATTTTACACAGCAGAACAGCTAAAAAAACCTGGCAGATAATGTGAAGGAAAAGAAGTTTTAAGTGACAGCCGTCGAAATTACTGTGACGTTGCATTTTCGGTGCAGTTATAAAAGTAAGAACAACGGAGAAAAACTATTACCTTATTATGAAGTTGTTTGAAGCCACAAGCTGGTGTTGCTGAACGAGAAAAGAAGCTATACTGCTGCCTCGATTGCTCTAGTGAATGGCTGCATAGCCTGTATTTGTAGCTGGTTACTTGTGATTTATATTCTTGATGTCGGATAAACAAGCCGCAGTTATCTATCGGCGAGTGACTTCGATGGGCGAATGGCTTCGTGATCATGAAGAAACAACACTTGTCTTCTTTCGTTGCTTGTCAAGGTACTTTAGTTCCATGTGTTTTCATGTGTTTTTCGACAAACTTTCAAACAAGCTCTTGTGGCTTTTTTGTTTGTTTTTGTCTTTTTTCTTTCGATGAAGTTGCATTTCTAGTATTCTAAGAAATGAATTAAAACGATTTGCTTAGGGCGCCGTTCTATCCTTCGCGAAAAAAAGTCTCAGCTAGCTTCCAATTTTAAACTGACGCGTACACCGACCATATATGGAGAGCATGGTATAATAGCTCATATACCATAACGGCTAAGCCAATCAAAATGCTAGAATTGCATTATCCAATGATTCAGTTTTTAATAATTACAATTATTACCAGTGATACCGGAAAAGGTAAATTATAATTATTTTACACTATATGAAGCTTCAAGTTTAAAAACTTAAAATAATTTGATCAAAAAGGATTAGCTTTTTCGTCTTTCTGCTTTCTTACGGCAGTTGATTCAGACGTCGGATATGATGGTGCCGAATTCAACTCCGTTTGATGTAAATATTCCCAGCCTCTAGAAATTTGTTTTATCCAATATGGATAAGGGTTTCTATAATTAGTGCATTATATTCGGCACATGTGAAAAGCGACGTCTAGACCAAATGTTGAACCTAAGTCGAATTTTCGACTGTTTCAGTGGCGCATTCGACAAAGTCGTATTTAATTCGAAACTGTCGAATTTAGTTGATTCAGACGTTCCATCTCATAGCATTTACCTCTCGAATTAAATCAGGCACATATGAAAATCGACGATTGAGCTGGGTAATAATGATAAAAGTGTCCACTGTATTACTAAAAAATATCGGTAGATACGCTATGGTACATACCGCATTTTATATACCTGTCCTGTAAACTTTGCTTTCAATTTACCAATTTATTTTATTTTTTATTTTAATTAATTATTATTATTATTAATGGCTCAAAAATCGAAGATATGACCGAAATTCTTCTGATCAGAACTTTAAATCAAAACTTTATCCTTTTTTGAATCACTCCGCTGATACTTTTTTACAAAATTTCCCGGCCAATGAAAGATAAAAATGAAAATTTGGTACCTCAAGACGTACCGCAATTTGTTTTTAATGCAGTCAGTAGAGATATTGAAAATTTCCAGGAAGGACAACTCGTGCTTGATCCTCCAAGGAAGACTCATGTGGCAGACTTGCAGCAGTAGTACACACAGTCTAATGGACACGTCTGTAGTCAGTCAGCCTTTTTGCACCGAAAGAATAAAATAACCTGTAAGCTGGATAGCCTCCTATACAGGCGAAGCGCTAAGAAGGTCCACGAGGGAGGCTATACTTAGGTGCAAAACAAAAACTCCCCTCTCCGCCCCCCCAAAAACAAACAAACAAACAAAATCAAACGGTTTTTAATCGGCAGAAAGATTTTAGCGAACTAATTCCTTCTAATTTCTCGCGTACGAGGTTAAAGTAATCTAATTTCAAAAGGTCTTCCATCGTTCTTATAACAAAGGAAAATGAATTTTTTTTTATTACGAGTCGTACTTCGTATCAAATGTACAAAAATATAATTATTTCAGCAGCTAAAAGTCAAATACAAGTCAAAAATCGTCGTGAATCGTCCAACAAACTTGGACTCGTCTTGCCGAAACACGTTCTGTACTCGTAATTAACAGCATAATAAAAATAGAAGACTCACAGTTAATACAATGCCACAGCAACACTTCTAATTGGGCAATAAATAGCATGTTGATATTGAAAGAGAAAGCATTGATACTGACGGAAAAAGAAAAACAATGAAGAAGTCCTTAAAACTTCAACCACAATCGTGTTGGTAGTCTGGAATTATGTGCCTTCAATATGACTTTATCATGAGAATCCTCCATTACATGGGCATGACGATATCATTGTCAAGCCTTTAAAAGTTGCTAACGCAGCTAGTGAATAGGCAACAATTTGTCTCTAAAAATAACTGACACGGAATTGTCTCAATTAAAGTTGCTGTAAAGTCAACGTCATCATGACTTTTTGTAAACATGTTGGTGTGGCTTTGTTTCTAAATGATGACCCATCCGCGCCGGTGAACCAATATCATGAGCTGCTAATACTGATCTTGCGTGGGACATGTATAAAATAAGTGGTAATCACAATCTTTAGCGGACAGTGTCGGTTTATCACGACAACTTATTAGGTGATCTAACACCAGATAACAACATTACCTTTTAAAACAACTTGGTTTTAATCGACATTTTAAACTGCATAGTCTTTAATGGGTATTTTAACTTGTCTCCTGTTAGTTTTTGTCGTTCCTTCTATGGGACAAAACTCCTTTTCCAATAAGATTATTCTTAACAATGGAATTTTTAACGTTTCGTGGAATTTCAACGCATCTCTTGATACATTTGAGTTTCTGTTGGAAGTCAGAACTACAGGGTGGATAGGATTTGGTTTCGCTTTGAACGCTCCCACCAATATGATGAACTATGATGTTGCAGTTGGAGGGGTTTTAAGTAACGGAACAACCTATCTACAGGTATGTATTACTATTACCAAAACGTTAAAACATCAGTAAATAGACTCTTCTTCTATTGTCTCTGCATTATTCACCTTAAAATGACTCAAGGAAACAAATTTAAGTCTTTTTTACTCAGATCTTTTACGTTTTGAGTCACGTGCTATCAAAAAAGTAATTTTCATGTACTTTCATGTGGTTTTTAAGTGAAACTTTATCCTGATTGAGAAGTTATTACTTCTTCTTCTCAGGTTAACAAATTCTTAGTTCTTATGATTGGAATTTATTCACTTGTCTAGATTAACCAATGTAAAAAAACCTAAAGTAGCGCATAGTGGTAAAAGACTATGCAAATACCTTTCAGTACAATAAAATCTATGAATCAGGAATTTGTGGTGTAGCCGCAGAAGGATACTTCAAAAATACTGAAGAATACTAGAATATCACTCGACTTCAAAGCAAGGTTTCGAGGAATGAATGCGGTGTTTACCAATCTGAAAAGTACTTTTTAAAGAGTGGCACAATTGCCGATCGGCTTAGCTTTCATGGTAAGAAGGCGACCGAAAATTCGAACTGCAGGTTCGTTTTACCTCAGAGCAATTCGTTGCTAAGCTTCCAAAACAATTTCACAGCTAAATTCTGAATGCGGGCTTCTGCAGCAATGATTTCCCTGAAATTTATTTGCATACTTGTTATATCAATGAAAGGTGATACCAGAAACTTCAGTAAAAAATAACAGCAAAATTTCTCACCAGACTCGATTTTCTTCGTAACTTAGGGTCCACTTATTGGCTTATTTCGTTAAAAAAAAATCATTAAAACAACAACAACAACAAAAAAACAATTACCACCAGTAAAATCGGATTATTTCTCATTATTACTAAATGATAGCTGTATCTCATGTCAAAGTTTCTTAGCCATGAGCGCGTTGAAATAAAAAAAAGGTTGTGAGGAAAAAGTTCCCCATACCTCAATGTAAAATAACGGAGGCACCGGCCTCACCATTGATGTCTTACACTGCACTCACAACCGTTTGTCTGAGACAACAGAATACATTTTTTCAATAATAATAATGATAATTATAATAATAATAATAATACTCGATTTTTGTAGCTATAGAATGCATTCCTGTGACAATGATTTTTACAAATCGACTAAAATTTTTCTTTTCTTACGTCGATGACTTCTTGCAAAAAGAAGGGGTAATTTATGCAAAGTAAACAAAACAACAGTAAAACCACTTAAAGAGGGAAAATATGCACCGTCAATCTTAGACTTCAAAGGCAATCGTGCGTGTAAAGTGTATGTCGTCAATCCGTTGTTTGTGTGTACCCAAGACTCAATATCATTTTATAATTTTTATAGTGCTGCCGGTGTCTATTTTTGTTTAGTTAATCACCAAGGGAACGCAACACACACACTGTGACAGTATAAGCTGAGTCATTTAACGCCAGCTATTGAACTAAATTGAAAAATTAAAAGAATTGAAATTTGGCAGGTACCGCTAATTAAGAGCAATTTAAATAACTTTTAAATGAAAAATTGTACGCGGCTGTTAGAAACAAACTGTAAGCCGCCAAAGCGCTACCCAGGGTACCAGAGGTTTTTTCTCGCGTGCGTCGGGGAGCTTCGTTTCTTCGGCCGCAGGCTGACACTTTTTAAGACTTGACCGAAACCGGAAACCGCACATGAAAAGCCTCTCGCACCCAGGGTGCCAAAGCACAACCGCATTCCAAAAAAAAAAAAGAAAAAACTCGATAAATCCACTACTTTTAAGAGGACTATTTTGCATTATACGTTCCTTCTAACTCAAATCAAGGCTCAGTCTGACGAGTTAATTTATTTTAGCAAGATTACGGTTATTAATTACATGCAATGTACATTTGAACAAATTTCTTTGAATGACTTTAGATTTTGCCACGAGGTTGTGTTTGCCGCTGAAGTGATCAAATGTTAAGTGTACGCAGGCAACCTTTCCAAAAAGTTTAACACCATTTATTTCTTTCATATCACCTCTTTCACTTATATGAATAATGTCATAATCTATAAATTCTATTCTCGACACGAAAATATTTAACTGGAAACAGGTTTTTCATCAGAAACGGATGTTTCCGTCTCTTAAATATTAATGAAATCAGGAGACCTTAACTTCTTGTAACGTCTTCCCTGTTTATAGTTAAATAAACTGTAAAGGTTTTTTAAAAATAACTTTTTGAAATAACTTCACTTAACTGGTCAGTTAACAATACCTATAAGTGTCATGAGGGAAACCCAACCAGGCGTTGTTTAATATCCACTCACGTGCTTTTCCCCAATTCTGATTGGCTAAAAGCACACGCATAATTCACCATAACCAGTTACTGATGACCAAATTTGGAAGAATTTTGTTTTTAACGACGAAATGACGTCAAAAATGCAGCCAGCTACAGGTTATGGCATCGTTAGCGAGAAGACCTGGGGACGAGGTTGAGTTGTTTTGGTTGTGAAAAAAAAAAATGGCGGACATTTCACTTGTTTCAAGAGTAAGAACTACAGCTGGAACTAGGCGAAATAATAGCTAAAAGCATGGCAAAAACAGCAAGAAGACAACTCGGAGGGCGACATCTGCTATTTGGAGAATATTTGCGGAGCTGGACAAACCTAAACGTACACTATCGAAGATGAACCTAACATCGATGCAGGTAATTATGTTTTAGCTATGTTTAAAACTAGGAAATACTTTGAATGAACAATAAAGCAATTAATGAATTCGGCTTTCGTAGGATATGAAGAATTAAGGTGGCTCGACTGGATTTTTTGGGGGGGATACCTCCCAAGTTTCAGCATTAACTACGTCGCCATGAATAAAGATATCGAAAAAAGATTACCACAACTGTATTACATAAAGATGAAAATTTCTTATGATCTAGGTTTTATTGCAATCGGAGTCGCCATGGCAACGTAACAACGCCATTACGTTTTTTATTTATCTTTGTGTTTCTCTGTTCCAAGAGTTTTTAAAAGAAATCGCTTAAGGGAGCTTGTACCTGCCATAATTGCCTCAATTATGGCAAAGTTTGAACAAATTCTATGGGAGCGTTTTCGAGATATTTTGAAACGAAGTTTTAAGCATCATAAAAACAGTAAAATAGCGTGCTATCCACACAATTGGCTAATTTTTTAAGAAAATGATAAACTTTGGAAACGCGACTTCATCTCATAGTGGTTTGATTCCATTGAAAACTGCATACAAGAAAAGAGGGGAATTGCTCCGGGCGATCGCGAGTAAGAAGAATTTTATTAACTTGCATTCAGCTGCTTTTGTTACAGTTTTTGCACGTAATTTGGTCCATGCCTACAATTTTCGCATTTTTAAAAAAACCGCTCGATAAATTTTTTATAAATTTGACAATCCCGAGATCAATTGCCAATGAAAATACCCTGCAAGTTTCAAGAACATTGATAACAGAGAAGGCTTTTAAATAGGGCCTCAAATATAACAATTTTTCCCCCCAGGTTTTGTATTTACAAGTGAGCGTCCCCATTATTCACTGGCATTGTTTCCAAGTTTCATATGCACGTGCACATTTAGCAAAAAGATATAAATTTGCATCAAAAAGAACTCTCCGGCGATTACTTTCGGAAGAAATATCCGAAATATGCTAATAATTGGCTTGTGTCACAGATAGCAGTGAGAGCCGAGACGGTGAACGTCACGGCTCGTCGTGTAGGATGCAATACTTTAATAGTTAACTTACTCGGGTTATAACGTCACAGAAACTCTTACAAAGAGTTGCTGTGATGTTATAATGTATCACTAATTTCTTTACCCGGTTATTAGCATATTCAGGAGATTTAACCGAGGGTCCTTTTTGATGCAAATTCTATCTTTTTGCTAAATGGGCACGTGCATATGAAACTTGGAAACAATGCCAGTGAATAATGAGGACGCTCACTTGTAAACACAAAATCTGTGGGGAAAATTTGTTATATTTGAGGCCCAAATGCAGGCGACTTTTCCTGGAGTTGTATTCTTAAGGATTTTATTCAGGTTAAAAAAGATGAAGGAAAATTCGTCATCGTATGTCCACGTCCTCATAAAAATCACGTCGTAGTGGTACAGTGGAAGTGAAAGAAATGTACTAAAAAGCGTGATGCACGTGCAGAGCTGTTGTTTTGATCACTAAACCTATAGTCGACGTAGTTGCTTAAGCTACCTAATTTCTCGTAACTCGTCTTGCAAATTTGCTACACGCCACTGAACTAGTGCCCAATGATAAACTTTTTCCGCTTATTGTACTTCATGTGACGTTCTAAGTGTGACTGTGTCTTCTTTCAAAATTGTACACATTCATTCTTGAACATTACAGTTACTTAGTACGCTTTAAAAAAAAAAGTATTTTCATCAATATTCAAGGTATTAAATTAAGGTCTCTATTAAGTCAAATACATTTACGCTGTAGCCTGTATAAAGTACAATCAATTACTTCTTTTCCGAAGAACAAGGCAACGCAAGAGATCATTCTCTTGGGCAAGGCTACTTTGCGTCCTCGAGACATTTATTGAAATGTTTTACAATTCTCATGCTACTTACCTCCCAATCGCGGCATCAAAAAGCGCCGAGACGAGTTTTTAGATATTTCGACGTATGTAGCTGAGTGATAATTCACCATGACACCATTGCAATGGTTAAAAAACACAGAAATACGTTGCTGGTTAAAGCAAAAAGGTAACTTTGATTTTCTCAGGATTACTACACCACAGGCCGAAGCAGACCTGATCCGGACCCACAGCAAGACTTTATAGTAATAAATGGTTCGGAGCAAAACGGAGTTACTAGCCTGACATTCAATCGGAGGCGAAACACAACAGATGCTCTAGATGTAGCTATACAGGTAAAATAGTCTAACGATTATGTCTGCAAGCCTTTTTACTTCTTGATAAAAGATTATATGAAGTTAATCAAGAAACTGAGATGAAACATCTTGTACCCAATACTTGGAAAGGGTGATAAGAATATAAACGCGTTTGTTTGTTTACAAAATTCTATAATACTGGTTATCATTCAAACGATAAAATTGTGTTGGTTTATTCAATCGCGTTCTTAGTAGTTTTAAATGTATGAAAAAGTACTGACAGTACGTTACACTGAACATGGACAGTGTCAGTGACTGACGTTTCAATCTGAACCTGCGCGGTAGTCATCTTCAGATTCAAAGGGAACAGTATCGCGTCACTTAATGGTATTAAACTATGATAGTTGACCTGATTGGTATTAGTATGATTGGTATTGGTATTGTGAAATAAATGGTGATGTTATTGGCTGTGATAGTATATCAACTTAGCAAAATCCAAGTAGTGGTCTATTATCAATGTTGAGCAATGGTTCTGATTGGTTGAGCTACTACTAGGCTACATGTTATAGCCCACTAGTGGCGAAAAGCGCCGGCTTAAAAAACCAAAACAATGGCGGCTGAATCGCGTTTTGCTAGATTAAGTTGTTTTGTCGCGATATTTTTGACCAACTAGTTGGATTTTACTAAAACAATTATTCCTCTCCCCCTCATGGCCTTTGAGTCAATTAAGCCTAAAGGAAAAAATAACAAAATTGAAAGGCTTTTACCTTTTTCTGACGCAAAGCATTTAAGGCGATACCAGTCACCCTTTCGCTAAAACTAATCTGACCACAAGAATCGCCGTTTTTTATGCTTTAAAAACTTGTAAAGGGTAATGGAAAGACGTCGGAGCACTAACCTTTTCGCACAAGTTTAACCAGACCAATATGGGCGCGTGGTTTCTTTTAGAGAAATATATTTTTGGTGGGTTGTTGCACTCTAAATTGCCATTACTTAAGCAATAGAAAGCGTTTTCCGTGTTTCAATAGCCCGATATGAGCACAAAGAGTGTTAGTAGGAAAATTCAAGACAGTTGCACAAATGTCCAGAATTTTCGCAACGTTAACCTACCAAGCGACAATTTTAATTCAAATCCGTAACGAAATTATCATATTAAATTCTAAAATAGTTTTGTTTCTGCAAGCTTATTCCATAGGACTGGCTATTAACTATACCTTGATTTGCAAAAAAAAAAATGTTGTTTTATCTCTTCGAGTTTCCTTGTTTGTGACTCCCATAAATGTTTTACCAAAATGATGTTATCGGCTTTGTACATGTTAAATAATATAACGGCGGTAATTAAAATGCCGAATTGCAAGTCAAACAAGACTTATTTTCGAACAATATTGAGGAAAATTGTTTTTTGTTCACAGCCTGGCATGCCGATTTTTCTAGTTTGGGCTTATCACCCTTCGGTTGATGCACAACCCATGAGCTCGTTTTCTCAGCACCCGAATGATGCAAGAGGAGTGATGCAACAAACTCTTATACCTGCTGCCATTACACCGACCCCAACACCAGGTAGGAATGTTCACTCTAGAAAAGAAAAACCAACTGTAAATTCGAGGAGTGACGCGGCCTGAAAAAAATCGTCCATAATTTAGAATTATGTGAAGTCTCAGCAAGGCATCAATTCGCATGCTAATTGCCTTTACAATCTGTGAGCTTTGCTACAATAATGGGGAAGGTATACTGATGAAACCGTCAAAAAGCTAGAATTTCATATGCCTGTTGCGTTTCATAGCCATGTGATGTTGAAACTGGGAAATCACGCGTCGTGTCATTACTAAGACTCTTTATTGCTTTCCCTTAAACCATAAAGAAAAGTGGATTAAAGTACCTCCTTTCAGGAAACTAACAAGGAATTAATGCCTGCGTCACATTGCATTTCTCCCGCCATTAACTCAAGATGATGTCGATAAGGGTTAACTATGTTTTCAATGTATTTATGTTAGCAATGGCAACTCCCGCAATAACAGCTACTCCTGTTGTGGAAGTAAGACCGATGCATTTTGCAAATTTTTTGCAATTGGATAATAATGGCAACTACAACGTGTCGTGGGTGTACAACAACAGCATGGATACTTTGCACTTTATGGTAGAAGTCAAAACCACTGGCTGGATTGGATTTGGCGTGGCTACCCAGGCACCAAACATGATGATAAACTACGATGTGGCCGTCGGAGGAGTGTCTGGTGGTGCAGGTTATTTATGGGTAAAGAGATTGTCGATCTTTATTTCCTTGAGAGAAGCCTTTTAAATTGGATGTCTTTATATTCGCTGTCGCTACCTTAGTAATATTGTAAAGCTGTTACGGCCTTTTCGTGTTGTCAGCCAAGCTGTTTTGTTCCCCTCAACAAGATTCATCTAAACAAGAATTGACTGCGGCATATCAGGGAAAACAGGATAAAGATGATTTTACCAGCAAGATTTGTGCCGTGCACTTCTATCCATTTTTGCCCTAAAAATAAGAAGTTGAATTTTGATTGTGATGTTATTTCCATTATAGGATTATCTGACCGTGGGTCGCAGGCAGCCGCAGTTGGACCTGCAACAGGACTGGATGCTGACTTATTTTAGAGAGGAAAATAATGTAACAACATTAAGATTTTATCGACAGCGAGATACTAACGATTCTGCTAATGACACAGTTATTCAGGTAACAAAGGTGCTTTTTGTGTGCCATTCAATAAGAGGCTTTCTTAAAATTCTTTACAGAATGATTGCTTTTATCTGGTTTAAATGATTCAAATCAGATACAATTCAGTTAGATATAAGAAACAACAAAATATTTACTTGAGCGCATTCATAAGCTTTCATATATCATATTCATGTGTTATTTTGCGTTTTAATAAGTAATAAATTATTATCAATTTTATTATTATTATTGCAACCTCCCCTAAAAAATGTTATTCGCTTTGTAAAGAAATCGAATGATAATGATGAATGATAATCTTGGTGAAATATGTTTTCAAGACTGTTAAAATTCGCGCGTTTCCACGGCTGTTGAAGGTTAATTATGTTGTTGTGACGTCATGGAAGGAGACCATTTGGCACGTACTCACAAACATTGGGGCGAAAAGTAATAATGGGAGAGTGCTTAAGGAGAGCAAGTTCCTTCTTCAAAAATACATTCAGCACGCGTATAACCTTAAAGTGGAATCTTATGGAGCCCTATAGTTATTCGAAAATCGGCTGTTTTGCTACAATCCAAGAAAAACGGAGGCATCACGCATGATTCCAACTTTGCAGCTTACACTTCAGAGAAGTATGCCTTGCTCGCGTGAAATTTATCTCCTTCTAGGACGTGACATTGTCCGTAGTGCTAGGTACTGACCACAAGAATGGCCGAAATTTTATACTTTAAAAACTTGTAAAGAGGAATGGAAAGACGTCGGACACTAACCTTTTCGCACAAGTTTAACCAGACAGATATGGGCGCCTGGTTTCTTTTAGGAAAAAATATTTTTGGTGGGTTGTTGCTCTCTAAATTGCCATTACTTAAGCAATAGAAAGCTTTTTGTTAATGATATACAAAATAAATCATATATGAACTGCGGAAAGAAATGAAAATGAAGAAATGATCAACGCAGTGAACCCAATTTATGCAATTGCGTAAAGAAGCCTGAAAAAAAAAATCAGGACTTCAACTGGGTTTGAACCCGTGACCTCGCGATACCGGTGCGATGCTCTACCAACTGAGCTATGAAGCCACTGACGTCGGGAGCAGGTCAATTGTGGGTTCATATGTTCCCGTGAAAGAAATGAGTGTTAATGATATATGAAATAAATCATATATGAAAAGCGTTTTCCGTGTTTCCAGAGCCAGATATGAGCACAAAGGGTGTTGGGAAAATTCAAGACAGTTGCATAACTGTCCAAAATTTTCGCAACGTCGAACCTACCAAGCGACAATTTTTAATCCAATCCGTAACAAAATTATCATATTGGATTCTAAAATAGTTCTCTTTCTGCGGGCTTATGCCATAGGACTGGCTTTTAACTGTACCTTGATTAGCAGGAAGAAAATGTCGTTTTATCTCTCTGGGTTTCCTTGTTTGTGATTCCCATAATTGTTTTACCAAAATGATGTTATCTGCTTTGTAGTACTACATGCTAAATAATATAACGGCAGTAAATAATGTGTCGAATTGCAAGTTAAACAAAACTTATTTTCGAACAATATTAATTGTTTTCTGTTCACAGCCTGGCATGCCGATTTTTCTAGTTTGGGCTTATCACCCTTCGGTTGATGCACAACCCAGCTCGTTTCCTCAGCACCCGAATGATGCAAGAGGAGTGATACAACAAACTCTTATACCTGCTGCCATTACACCGACCCCAACACCAGGTAGGAATGTTCACTCTAGAAAAGAAAAACCAACTGTAAAATTCGAGGAGTGACGCGGCCTGAAAAAAATCGTTCATAATTTAGAATTATGTGAAGTCTCAGCAAGGCATCAATTCGCAAGCTAATCGCTTTTACAATCTATGAGCTTTGCTACAATAATGCGGAAGGTATATTGATGAAACCGTCAAAAAGCTAGAATTTCATATGCCTGTTGCGTTTCATAGCCATGTGATTTTGAAACTGGAAAATGACCCGTCGTGTCATTACTAAGACTCTTTATTGCTTTCCCTTAAACCATAAAGAAAAGAGGAATAAAGTACCTCCTTTCAGGAAGCTAAAGAGGAGTTAATACTTGCGTCACATTGCATTTCTCCCGCCATTAATTCAAGATGATGTCGATAATGGTTAACTATGTTTTCAATGTATTTATGTTAGCAATGGCAACTCCCGCAATAACAGCTACTCCTGTTGTGGAAGTAAGACCGATGCATTTTGCAAATTTTTTGCAATTGGATAATAATGGCAACTACAACGTGTCGTGGGTGTACAACAACAGCATGGATACTTTGCACTTTATGGTAGAAGTCAAAACCACTGGCTGGATTGGATTTGGCGTGGCTACCCAGGCACCAAACATGATGATGAACTACGATGTGGCCGTCGGAGGAGTGTCGGGTGGTGCAGGTTATTTATGGGTAAAGAGTTTGTCGATCTTTATTTCCTTGAGAGAAGCCTTTTAAATTGGATATCTTTATATTCGCTGTCGCTACCTTAGTAATATTGTAAAGCTGCCACCATTTCGTATTGTCAGCCAAGGTGTTTTCTTCCCCTCAAGAAGATTTATCTAAACAAGAATTGACTGCGGCTTGTTAGGGAAAATAGGATAAAGATGATTTTACCAGCAAGATTTGTGCCGTGCACATCTATCCACTTTTGCCTTAAAAATAAGAAATTGAATTTTAAATGTGATGTTATTTCCATTATAGGATTATCTGACCGTGGGTCGCAGGCTGCCGCAGTTGGACCTGCAAGAGGATTGGAGGCTGACTTATTCTAGAGAGGAAAATAATGTAACAACATTAAGATTTTATCGACAGCGAGATACTAACGATTCTGCTAATGACACAGTCATTCAGGTAACAAAGGTTCTTTTTGTGTGCCATTCAATAAAAGGCTTCCTTAAATTTCTCTACACAATGATTGGTTTTATGTGGTTTAAATGATTCAAATCAGATACAATTCATTTAGATAAGAAACAACAAAATATTTACTTGAGCGCATTAGATCATATTCATGTGTTATTTTGCGCTTTAATAAGTGATAAATTATCATCAATATTATTATTATTATTATTATTATTATTATTATTAAATTGCAACCTCCCCTAAAAAATGTTATTCGCTTTCTATAAAGAAATCGAATGATAATGATGAATGATAATCTTGGTGAAATATGTTTTCAAGACTGTTAAAATTCGCGCGTTTCCACGGCTGTTAAAAGTTAATTATGTTGTTATGACGTCATGGAAGGAGACCATTTGGCACGTACTCACAAACATTGGGGCGAAAAGTAATAAAGGGAAAGTGCTTAAGGCGAGCAAGTTCCTTCTTCAAAAATACATTCAGCACGCGTATAACCTTATAGTGGAATCTTATGGAGCCCGATACTTATTCGAAAATCGGCTGTTTTGCTACAATCCAAGAAAAACGGAGGCATCACGCATGATTCCAACTTTGATCCCAGCTTACACTTCAGAGAAGTATGTCTTGCTCGCGTGAAATTTATCTCCCTCTGGGACGTGACATTGTCCGTAGTGCTAGGTACTAACCACAAGAATCGCCGAAATTTTATACTTTAAAAACTTGTAAAGAGTAATGGAAAGACGTCGGAGCACTAACCTTTTCGCACAAGTTTAACCAGACCAATATGGCCGCGTGGTTTCTTTTAGCAAGAAATATTTTTGGTGGGTTGTTGCACTCTAAATTTCCATTACTTAAGCAATAGAAAGCTTTCTGTTTATAATATGTAAAATAAATCATATATGAACTGCGGAAATGAAATGAAAATGAAGAAATGATCATCGCAGTGAACGCAATTTATCCAATTGCGTAAAAAAAGCCTGAAAAAGAAAAATTAGGACTTCAACGGGGTTTGAACCCGTGACCTCGCGATACCGGTGCGATGCTCTACCAACTGAGCTATGAAGCCACTGACGTTGGGAGCAGGTCAATTGTGGGGTCATATGTTCCCGTGAAAGAAATGAGTGTTAATGATATATGAAAAAAATCATATATGTAAAGCGTTTTCCGTGTTTCCAGAGCCAGATATGAGCACAAAGGGTGTTGGGAAAATTCAAGACAGTTGCATAACTGTCCAGAATTTTCGCAACGTCGAACCTACCAAGCGACAATTTTTAATCTAATCCGTAACAAAATTATCATATTAGATTCTAAAATAGTTCTGTTTCTGCGGGCTTATGCCATAGGACTGGCTTTTAACTGTACCTTGATTAGCAGGAAGAAAATGTCGTTTTATCTCTTTGGGTTTCCTTGTTTGTGATTCCCATAATTGTTTTACCAAAATGATGTTATCTGCTTTGTAGTACTACATGCTAAATAATATAACGGCAGTAAATAATGTGTCGAATTGCAAGTTAAACAAAACTTATTTTCGAACAATATTAATTGTTTTCTGTTCACAGCCTGGCATGCCGATTCTTCTAGTTTGGGCTTATCACCCTTCGGTTGATGCACAACCCAGCTCGTTTCCTCAGCACCCGAATGATGCAAGAGGAGTGATACAACAAACTCTTATACCTGCTGCCATTACACCGACCCCAACACCGGGTAGGAATGTTCACTCTAGAAAAGAAAAACCAACTGTAAATTCGAGGAGTGACGCGGCCTGAAAAAAATCGTTCATAATTTAGAATTATTTGAAGTCTCAGCAAGGCATCAATTCGCAAGCTAATTGCTTTTACAATCTATGAGCTTTGCTACAATAATGCGGAAGGTATATTGATGAAACCGTCAAAAAGCTAGAATTTCATATGCCTGTTGCGTTTCATAGCCATGTGATTTTGAAACTGGAAAATGACCCGTCGTGTCATTACTAAGACTCTTTATTGCTTTCCCTTAAACCATAAAGAAAAGAGGAATAAAGTACCTCCTTTCAGGAAACTAAAAAGGAGTTAATACTTGCGTCACATTGCATTTCTCCCGCCATTAATTCAAGATGATGTCGATAACGGTTAACTATGTTTTCAATGTATTTATGTTAGCAATGGCAACTCCCGCAATAACAGCTACTCCTGTTGTGGATGTAAGACCGATGCATTTTGCAAATTTTTTGCAATTGGATAATAATGGCGACTACAACGTGTCGTGGGTGTACAACAACAGCATGGATACTTTGCACTTTATGGTAGAAGTCAAAACCACTGGCTGGATTGGATTTGGCGTGGCTACCCAAGCACCAAACATGATGATGAACTACGATGTGGCCGTCGGAGGAGTGTCTGGTGGTGCAGGTTATTTATGGGTAAAGAGTTTGTCGATCTTTATTTCCTTGAGAGAAGCCTTTTAAATTGGATGTCTTTATATTCGCTGTCGCTACCTTAGTAATATTGTAAAGCTGCCACGGCCTTTTCGTGTTGTCAGCCAAGGTGTTTTGTTCCCCTCAACAAGATTCATCTAAACAAGAATTGACTGCGGCATATCAGGGAAAACAGGATAAAGATGATTTTACCAGCAAGATTTGTGCCGTGCACTTCTATCCACTTTTGCCTTAAAAATAAGGAGTTGAATTTTAAATGTGATGTTATTTCCATTATAGGATTATCTGACCGTGGGTCGTAGGCAGCCGCAGTTGGACCTGCAACAGGACTTGATACTGACTTATTCTAGAGAGGAAAATAGTGTAACAACATTAAGATTTTATCGACAGCGAGATACTAACGATTCTGCTAATGACACAGTTATTCAGGTAACAAAGGTGCTTTTTGTGTGCCATTCAATAAGAGGCTTCCTTAAAATTCTTTACAGAATGATTGCTTTTATCTGGTTTAAATGATTCAAATCAGATACAATTCAGTTAGATAAGAGACAACAAAATATCTACTTGACTGCATTAGATCATATATTAATCTGTTGCTTTGCGTTTTAATAAGTAATAAATTATTATCAATATTATTATTATTATTATTAAATTGCAACATCCCCAAAAAATGTTATTCCCTTTCTAAAGAAATCGAATGATAATGATCAATGATAATCTTGGTGAAATATGTTTTCAAGACTATTAAAATTCGCGCGTTTCCACGCTGTTGAAAGTTAATTACGTTGTTGTGACGTCATGGAAGGAGACCATTTGGCACGTACTCACAATCATTGGGGCAAAAAGTAATAAAGGGAAAGTGCTTAAGGCGAGCAAGTTCTTTCTTCAAAAATACATTCAGCACGCGTATAACCTTAGAGTGGAATCTTTTGAAGCCCGATACTTATTCGAAAATCGGCTGTTTTGCTACAATCCAAGAAAAATGGAGGCATCAAGCATGATTCCAACTTTGATCCCAGCTTACACTTCAGAGAAGTATGTCTTGCTCGCGTGAAATTTATCTCCCTCTGGGACGTGACATTGTCCGTAGTGCTAGGTACTAACCACAAGAATCGCCGAAATTTTATACTTTAAAAACTTGTAAAGAGTAATGGAAAGACGTCGGAGCACTAACCTTTTCGCACAAGTTTAACCAGACCAATATTGCCGCGTGGTTTGTTTTAGCAAAAAATATTTTTGGTGGGTTGTTGTACTCTAAATTTCCATTACTTAAGCAATAGAAAGCTTTCTGTTTATAATATATGAAAACTGTGGAAATGAAATGAAAATGAAGAAATGATCATCGCAGTGAACGCAATTTATGCAACTGCGTAAAGAAGCCTGAAAAAAAAAAATCAGGACTTCAACGGGGTTTGAACCCGTGACCTCGCGATACCGGTGCGATGCTTTACCAACTGAGCTATGAAGCCACTGACATTGGGAGCAGGTCAATTGTGAGGTCATATGTTCCCGTGAAAGAAATGAGTGTTAATGATATATGAAATAAATCATATATGAAAAGCGTTTTCCGTGTTTCCAGAGCCAGATATGAGCACAAAGGGTGTTGGGAAAATTCAAGACAGTTGCATAACTGTCCAGAATTTTTGGAACGGTAACCTACCAAGCGACAATTTTCAATCCAATCTGTAACGAAATTATTATTTTCGATTCTAAAATAGTTCTGTTTCTGCGGGCTTATGCCATAGGACTGGCTTTTAACTGTACCTTGATTAGCAGGAAGAAAATGGCGTTTTATCTCTCTGGGTTTCCTTGTTTGTGATTCCCATAATTGTTTTACCAAAATGATGTTATCTGCTTTGTAGTACTACATGCTAAATAATATAACGGCAGTAAATAATGTGTCGAATTGCAAGTCAAACAAGACTTATTTTCGAACAATATTAAGGAAAATTGTTTTTTGTCATAGCCTGGCATGCCGATTTTTCTAGTTTGGGCTTATCACCCTTCGGTTGATGCACAACCCAGCTCGTTTTCTGGGCACTCGAATGATGCAAGAGGAGTGATGCAACAAACTCTTATACCTGCTGCCATTACACCGACCCCAACACCAGGTAGGAATGTTCACTCTAGAAAAGAAAAACCAACTGAAAATTCGATAATTAAGAATTATGTGAAGTCTCAGCAAGGCATCAATTCGCAAGCTAATTGCTTTTACAATCTATGAGCTTTGCTACAATAATGCGGAAGGTATATTGATGAAACCGTCAAAAAGCTAGAATTTCATATGCCTGTTGCGTTTCATAGCCATGTGATTTTGAAACTGGAAAATGACCCGTCGTGTCATCACTAAGACTCTTTATTGCTTTCTTTTAAACCATAAAGAAAAGTGGATTAAAGTACCTCCTTTCAGGAAACTAAAAAGGAATGCTTGCGTCACATTGCATTTCTCCCGCCTTTAATTCAAGATGATGTCGATAAGGGTTAACTATATTTTCAACGTATTTATGTTAGCAACGGCAACTCCCGCAATAACAGCTACTCCTGTTGTGGATGTAAGACCGATGCATTTTGCAAATTTTTTGCAATTGGATAATAATGGCGACTACAACGTGTCGTGGGTGTACAACAACAGCATGGATACTTTGCACTTTATGGTAGAAGTCAAAACCACTGGCTGGATTGGATTTGGCGTGGCTACCCAAGCACCAAACATGATGATGAACTACGATGTGGCCGTCGGAGGAGTGTCTGGTGGTGCAGGTTATTTATGGGTAAAGAGTTTGTCGATCTTTATTTCCTTGAGAGAAACCTTTTAAATTGGATGTCTTTATATTCACTGTCGCTACCTTAGTATTGTAAAGCTGCCAGCATTTCGTGTTGTCAGCCAAGGTGTTTTCTTCCCCTCAACAAGATTTATCTAAACAAGAATTGACTGCAGCTTATCAGGGAAAATAGGATAAAGATGATTTTACCAGCAAGCCGTTCGTGCCGTTTACATCTATCCACTTTTGCCTTAAAAATAAGGAGTTGAATTTTAAATGTGATGTTATTTCCATTATAGGATTATCTGACCGTGGGTCGTAGGCAGCCGCAGTTGGACCTGCAACAGGACTGGATGCTGAGTTATTTTAGAGAGGAAAATAGTGTAACAACATTAAGATTTTATCGACGGCGAGATACTAATGATTCCCCTAATGACATAGTTATTCAGGTAACAAAGAAGGTTTTTGTGTGCCATTCAATAAATGGCTTCCTTCCCAACGTTAACCTGCCAAGTGAGATGTTTCAATCCAATCCGGTGAAATTATTATAAGATTTTAAAACAGTTCTGTTTCTGCGAGCTTATTCTATAGGACTGGCTATCAGGTATACCTTAATTTGCAAAAAAAAAATGTTGTTTTATCTCCCCATGAAATTTTTTTACAGAAATGATGTTATCGGCTTTGTACTAAATAATATCATGGCAGTTTGTAATAATGTGAATTCCAACTCAAACAAGAATTATTTTCCAACACTTAAGGAAAATTGTTTTTTTTTACAGCCTGGCATGTCGATTTTTCTAGTTTGGGCTTATCACCGTTCGGTTGATGCACAATCCAGCTCGTTTCCTCAGCACCCGAATGATGCAAGAGGAGTGATGCAACAAACTCTTATACCTGCTGCCATTACAACGACCCCAACACCAGGTAGGACTGTTCACTCTAGAAGAGAAAAAAAATAATAAATTTGATGAGTGACGCGGCGTAAAGATCTCTAAAAAAACGTCGAATAAAAAAAAGTGCATGAGATTAAATCTAAGAGAAGATGCCGTGAAAGATAATGCCTCATTTTAGCAATAATTCCCTTGGATTTACTAATTTTGTGACAGAGAGATTTATGTTTCCATGAAACCGCCCAATCAATCATTATACCCAAATAAGAAAGTGCTTAATATTTAATATTACTCTTATTTGAAGTTGTATTAAAAATCTTAATTCAAAGAATAAAAGGCATTGATTTCTGGCGCGGAGACAAAATGACAATTAGACCAATTAGATAATGAATAGTGACAATAAGGCCATTTATACGAGGAAAAATAAGACGCGTCTTACATAAGACGCGTCTTAAATAAGACGCGAACGGTACCATTTATACAAGCATGTCTTATCTAAGACGAGAACAGCTCGTATAAATGGTTCGCGTCTTATTTCTGTTCTTGACTCGTTTTCATGTGAATGTTGCACGTAGCAACGGCAATCCAACGTGGCGCGCCAAAAATTAACGCATGCGTACTATGGCGTTCGCGTCTTATGTAAGACGCGAAGGTCATTTATACGAAGTTTTTCTCGTCTTAGCTAAGACGTGTCTTATCTAAGAACAGGTGCTAAGGGCTGTTCTAAAATATGACGCGTCTTAGCTAAGCCGCGTCTTATTTTAGACGAAATGTGCCGTTTATGCGGAAAGTTCGCGTCTTATTTAAGACGCGTCCTATGTAACACGCGTCTTATTTTTCCTCGTATAAATGGCCCTAATGTCCTTCAAAGGCACGAAACGAGAGGTTTCCAGATAATGGTAATTGTTGCAGCAGGTAAGTCTTGTATAAAGATAGTATCCTATTTCACAACACTCAATTACTCGCGCTCGTTGTTATTAAGATATGGGAAAATTGATCGAGCTTGAGGAGGTGGAAACTGTAATCGATTCCCGATCCAAACACGAGTTTTCAGCAAAGAAAGGGTTGGGGAGGGTGGGCCATTCCACCTTCCTTCTTGGCGCTGATCAGAGACTGAGCGGAGAGGGAGTGTTCAACGGCATTTATTATTGCCCCTTGGGATTCAGGGCCCCGTGCACCTGCATACCATTGCGCATGAGACTTGTAATTTTAATGTTTTGGCTTCGCGCTTCGATTTTGAGTATTGTAAATAGTAGGCAAATCACAATTGCCTCACTGGCCATAACAACTCTATCCAAATAATTCCGTCATGATAATAACAGGCAAATGACAGTCTCCACTGACCATACAACATTTCACAGTCATGATCATCGAACAGACAACTTGCTGAAAGATTCACGCCATGACAATAGCAGGCAAATCACAATTGCCTCACAGGTCATAATAATTTTATCTTAACAACTCCGTCATGACAATAACAAGCAAATTACATTCTTCACTGACCATTCAGCGTTCCACAGTCATGATCATCAAACAGACACCTAGCTGAGAGAATCACGCCATGACAATAGCAGGCAAATGACAATTTGCCTCACTGGCCACAACAATCCTATCCAAACAACACTACCGTGTATACATAAAAGTAATTTACTCTATTTACAATAACAAGCAAGTTACAAACAGTACAGAATAATTCTAATGTATAACCCAAAAACCCAACTACGAGGGAAGTAACAACAAGGAACCCCAAAGGACATACCGGACAAAACCAGCAAACCACCCCGGACGCCCCCAAGGATAAGCCTCGGTACATAATTACATTTACATAACCCAGTCACGTGCAAGATAACAAATACAACGCAAACCAAACTGGAACAAGAAAATACCAGAAGAGGAACATGAAAAGAAAACACGCGCTTCGATTTTGAGTATTGTGAATAGTTATGTGAATTCTTACTCTATAAATCCTGTGCTAAAAAGATTTTTTTACGTTCGTCTCAAACTCGTTTTAATATCTATATATATCATAACCTTACCTGCATGACCTTAATAAAAAGACTTGACACATTTATTTTACTAAGGTCTATTTCTCGGGACTATTAAGCTTGCTTGTACATTAAAATAACATCCCTACAGTAAATGCCTTAGGCCAAACGAACAAATGCAGGGCCGGCGTTGTCATATCAAAAAAGTACGCATTTTTGTATAAAAAATTATCGGGTTAAATTAAACTCTAAAACGACTTCAGGCTATGCACACCAAAAACGATATTTTGTTTTTAGAAAACAGTGTTTTTGACGAAACGGAAAATCCGCGTCCAAGTCTTTTTCATCGCTTTCCCAGAAAACAAATTTTCTAGGCTAAACGAGTCGAAGTGAGGATATAGAGCTTCTTATAATTTCCGGATACTGATTCTAACGTTTGATAAAACATAAAGTAAATGGATAGCAAGTCGAGTTGTATGTCGTTGACTTTTCGGCCACAAGCACTCTGAGGTTAGTTTATGCAAAAAAAAAAAATGCAAGCAACATTCGATTGATAGGTTCGTAAATTCCTATTATTTTGATAATCATCATCATCATCAGCAGCATCCTCATCATTATAACCATAAGCAGCAGCTCTTACTATTGAGTCATTTAGAGTTGCCAAGGTAACTCCAACTGTATATAGTAAAGTAAAGGTTGAGCTTCCTGTGATTCATTGCAGCTCTAGGGAAAAGGAATATTTAAGCATATGTTCCCACAATAAGGTTCAACATGTTTCAACCAATAGGGAGCTTTAAAATAGGCGTTTTTGAGCGACGCACGTCAATCGGTAGTTATAACCATTGTCGCTACCAAATTTGTATTGGTAATTGTCTTTATTCTTGCAGAGATGCTTTGGCCGAAAATCTGTACACAAGAATACAAACAATATCAAATACACAGTATAAAACATCAGCATGAAGCGGAAAAATTTATATTTTTTTCTTCGAGGCTATAGAGTTCTTATTCATTCTGCACTGAATTAGCACTTGTTGACTCTTTATAGTCATCTATGCGAAAATGGGCCGCTGACGTTAGCATTGCAACAAGCGCATGGGGCTGAAATGGATTATACTTGACCTGAATAAAAATTACAATAACCACTTTTATCATTGATTCTGCCTTTTATTTGGCAAGGAAATGTTTCCATGGCTGGAGTCCCACAATTTAACAGGTGATCGGGACAGGGCTAGGATAACCTCTTACCGGTACCAAGATCATGAAGTTGTCTGCTCATGTAAACTGCCACTTATTCTAATTGCATTTTTTGATCATCAGCTACAACTGGCCCTAATCAGGGCGGAGGAGCTGGACAAGGAGGCGGACCTGCAGTCGGTAATCTAACTAGTTTTCTAGCTCATGAAGGGTTGCTGGAAATACAGAAAAGCAGCCCTGTTTCTATGGCTGTACCGCTTATGTACATGCGTTTTGAGCGGTTACCACAATTAAACTCCCAGCATTTCCTGCCTAAATAGTTGTCAATAAACTCTAGTGTTTTGCCGAGTACCCTGAACGAGGCGGGGTCTATTTATTTCACTGCAGAAGTATTTCACATATCTGAGTACCTCACAATGAAGTGTCAGTCAAGCACATTTTCTGCTTTTTGTATTCAGTACACAATGTAAAATTGAGTAAGTATAAACACGGCTTGTTGTTTCACGGGTAAAAACGCCCAAAAGATACAATTTGTTGAAAGCAAGAACAAAAAGAAACTATCACAACTTACGCTTTGGAGGAAGCAAGAGCCATTATGGCGGAGGAAGAGAATCCAGTCGAGATCGCTTAGTCAGAATGTGACGTTTTATAAATCTAGTTTTTCTTTCCTTTTCACACCTTGGATAACGGTGTTCAGAGTTTTTGTTTATTTAATTCACTTACTTGTTCTTCGTGATGTTGGATCAGCAGTAAAGAAAATTTTCTCATCTAATGAGTGTATACGTTTTCGCTTTGCAGAGGACACTGAACAAAGACGTTTAGAGATAACAATCCTGCTTGCTGTTTCCCTGGGTCTAATTGTCGTGAACCTTATCTTATTATCAATGGGCCTGGCTTACTTCTGCAGAATGTAAGTTATGAACAATTACTTTTATAAACACTGTATTATCGAATTTTTGTATTGCCTTGGGTCAATTTAATAGAATTCAAAGAGGACAGACGGCAAATTGTTGTTGCTTCAAAAATCTACTAGTCGTAACTGTTCATCAGTAGGATGCCTAAAATGTGTGTAATCCCACAATTAGTTTTGGCTCCATTAAATCCTACAAGAATAACGTTTACCAGGAGCCCATCAAATGGAGCCTCCATCTTCATTAGTTTCTTGAGTCAACCCTTTCCCGAGTAGATTTATAAATAGAACGGCTTCTTTCCCGCGAAAAGTCTCATATTTCCCAGAGTGTCATATGTCACTGTGAACCGCGAAGAAAAAAAGAAAAAAATGGCGAACGAAGGCGAAACAAAGAGCCCGTCCTTCGACCGTTTTCCTTTTTATTAGGGGCCCTTATTCTTGATTTTACAGCCGCTAGGAACTGGGTATTAGTAAACGAAAGTTAATGAACTACTAGACTGAGAATAAAGTGATGGAATATAGTAGTTCTTTCACGGACGATATAGGAGCGAGCGGAAAGGTTGTCTTTTGTAGCAGTTTAGGGTTTTGTCGTCCCAAATTCTCCATGTAAGTTTACGTTCTTCAAAAAGCGTCGGCTATGAAACGTTCTGTTGACGAATCGGAACTATTGGAAAGATCCGACTTGTCCTTCATAACGAGTTCACGTAGAATTTCCAGCCTCTTTTTCCAATACTGGCTTTCTCTTCTTTGACAATTCTCCCCTTCCTTGTTTCCCTGCCAGTGTTTCTGTCCTCAGCTTTATCATTCTTTGAAGAGCGGCTCCACAGTACCTAAACAAACTGTCATCGGACTCTTCTGGCAACTCGCGGCTCCTCTGACCTACAGAGTCTTCATCAGCCTCGTTTTCCGCTTTCTTTAAACGAATGTGTTCATGAATCATACCGTAGACAGTTTCGTGGACAACGCTTAGGACCTAATGAACGCAGTCTGCAGAAAATATAGTAGGTGCTTTTCGCAAAAGCCGTTCAACTATCATTCTCTCCTGAGTTATCTTTCCAGGCTGAAAATTGGTCAACAGTTTCATCCAGGCAACCGAAAAGGACGCTTTTCTGTAACTCTGGAGATTACTCGCGAAAGATTCCTGTGCCAAGGTTGAAAACCTTCGACAAAACTTTGTCACCAACAGTTCAAAGTTTGACCCTTCAGCGACGCATAACAAATGTTTGGCAAATTGCTTGCGTTCTGATTGAGACTCGACGCGAGGATCATTTAGCAAAGACGATCTTATATGTTGTTCCACTTTCTTTGCTTCATCTGAAGAAAAAATCCAAGAGGCAAGATCCTCTATCTCTTTGCTGTCCAGTGCGGTTACTTTACTTTTTTTTTGCGGCTGCGTGGTCTTCGCAGTCGCATTTCCCTCTGCAGGTTTTGCTCTTCTACGGCCACCGGAAGATGTCGTTGCTTCGGTCAAATCCTCCTCGTCAGTTTCGCTTTCAGAGGATGTGGAATATTCACTCGTCGAGTCTTGAATCGTATCAGAACCGTTCGTCTGACGAGTCAAAAACCCCTTCCCTGCTGCCCGCCTTTACTTTTCTAATGCGCTTGAATCGCATGAATGCGCTCGCTGCCTGCTGTTTGACGTAAGACAATACTACTGTCATTTCTCTGTTTTCATTGGCTCTTCACTCTATCAGCGCGCGAAACCTCCTCAGGGAACCGTTCTATTTATAAATCTACTCGGGAAAGGGTTGACTCCAAGGGCTTGTATGGGAGACGGAGGCTCCATTTGATGGGCTCCTGCGTTTACTGGCTCCAAATTGTTTATGGTTATTATCTTACTTTTACCTTTCTATGTTGGGTTTTCGCTTTTTCATCCGAAGGTTTTAAGAGTCATATTAGTTTTGTTTTTTGACAAACAAACAAATGTAGACGTTGGCTGACCAGATAGTTTAATGCTGTAGGAAGTGTTGGTACTCGAGAAGAGTATGAAGAATTTTGAGTTTATGCTACAGCCAGCCAAGTGGGTTTGTTTGTAACACGATACTCTGCTTTAAAAAAGCGTAAAAATATAATTAAAATTACAACAGAGACGAGTAGTGGTGGGTGATCATTTTGGGCCTGTTTGATGGGTATGGATAAATTGTGCTTGTAAAATGGCTTATTCTGCCTGCCCGCAGTGCTCGTAAAAATCGCTAATTCTGCTCAGAATTCTGCTCGGACAACCTTATTCAGCTCGAATTCTGCTCGGTACCCTTCGGACCGTATTTACCTTCGCAGATATAGAAGGGAGCCTCGGCCTAACCCCTAAAAACTAATTATAGATATCTATTATGCATAGCAAAATTGTAATTCATCTTTAGTTAGTTTTAATGTGAGTGCTTTGCAGCTAGTAAATAATCAAATTAATCACAAGATATTTTCCAAGTGTTTTTTACTTTGTTTTAAATTCTTTTTACAATTACCATTATGCATATCAAGTGCCGCTGATTTCCCCTTATTCTGATCAATTTCTGCTCGAAATGCCTTATTCTGTCGGCAAAATCCTCGCTTAAAAATCGCTTATTCGGCTCGAAATTCTACCGGTAGAATTTGTCTAAGCCTACTGTTTGAGGACGAGAAAGGACGAGTAAAATTTGTCACGTGAATAAAATGCGCGGGAAGTCTTTTAATTTATGCTAAACATGTTCAGGCAAGTACTAGTAATGACGTCACGACACCCAAGGAGGCGTATCGATGTCCATTTGACAGTATAGCAAACCCATTGTGCTTTGAACATAAACTTGCCATTTTAAAATGGGAGCTTGAGCGACACGGTTAAGTATGTTTTCAGACACAAATATTCAAGTAGATTCTACTGCTAAACTTCAGTTAACTGTGGACGAAGTATACTTTTTAACTGGTAGTTTGTAAAGTATGATTGATAATATTCTTAGCCCCGGTCTTTGGTATGAAAATAAATTTGGCCATAAAATAATGCAGGTATAAGGGTAATTATGCACGTTCTATTTCCTGCCGCTTTCATTGTCTAACAATTGTTAAAGTTCCGGTTAACTGATTCTTGGCGCACAAATTGTGCATAGTCATGAGGGTCCAACCAACTAATTCTATGACACTCAACTCACACAGTTTTGATGTGAAAAGCCTTTAATTTATTTTAACTTTCACCTCACTACAACTACAATAAAAAGATCAATCGTCCTCTTCGTTCTCCTCTGCACAATCAAACCAATCCTGCACAAATTCGAAAAAAAACCCTCTATTTTTCAACCTTCATTACATTGCAACAATAACAACAAAAATCTATCATCTTCTTCTTCGCCCATGGAGTACTTGTAGGGTTTGACTATATATTTTAGTATCAACTTCTCCTTAAAAATTTGACGCGATGAATGCGAAGTTCTAATCAAAATAATTACATTTCAGAATGAACACTGTTGCTGCGAAGTAAAAGGGGAAGCTAGAGATAGAAATGGTAATTATGGTCATACGTTTTGAAAATAGAAAACAAGCACTTCAGAAAACCTAGTTTCCAGGCTTCTCTCCTGCGTCTCTGTCCCAGAGTTCTCTCGCTTCGCGGGGACGAGTAGAAGAGGAAACTGGGAACGAGGTTGTTACTTAAGACAGACACAGTTGAGGTCACATTAAAGGGACATATAGGAGAGTATGAAAGTTTCCTTTGCCCTGCTTCATGACGCAAAAATTTGGTGTTTCTTTTGTCGGTGTCATTTTAATCTTTTCCAATACGTCATTTGGTGATCCCACCCGTCCGGAACAACAAGTAACTACCCGTAAATTAAAACTTATTGAATTTCATACAAGATGTTGTGAGGACAAAGTTTTGTCGCCCCACTGAGATTTTTTTGTATTTAAGAGTCAGTGTAACATAATGTACATGATGTGACTTATATGTCCCTGTTTGATCACGTTCGCTTTAGTTTCCCAAGAGATACCCCAACCACCTTAAATTTTTGAGATTGCGGAAGTGAGCAGTTTACATCACTGTGGTTGAGTGTCTTGACTTCCAAAACGGCTTTAATACCAGCTGTTTAATCCCTAAACATTTTTGGAGTCAAACTTCTTGTAATAACATTGTTTTAATGTTGAATATTGTATTTTAGGTGCCAATGTGATAAAGAGTAGGGAAAGTTCAAGTATGCAAAAGAAGAGATTTCTGAAACAACTGTAAATCGATTCCCATCACGTATTCAATCAAGATTGTTTGATGTGACAAGATAAACTGTTTGTTTGCACTGTTTAGTGAATAAACATCAAATATGGCTATATATCATGTCTGAACTCACTTACTTCACAAATGTCCACAAACACACTTCCGAGTAACTCTCTGACGCTCTACTATGACTGGAGAAGGAGCCAACGTTGTCGAACGATCATAGCACTTAACTTGAAAACCGGAGGCCTTACCGTTTAAGTTCGCCGCTGACAAGTCAGATTTCTTTTTCGGTTGTAGCGAGTTCACGACTTTCTCGGTCACTCGTGATTTTACAAAAACTAAATTCTCGCATATTATAGAATTTTGATATAACGTGGGCTATTGCGTGCTTAATCTTGGACAGAAATTACAACAGTCCCAGAACAGGCCAATCCTCATGAAGGCAGACTAAAATAACGGAGCATATTAAATATCCCTAAGAACGATCAGTATCAAATTCCTCCTTGTATAACAACGCTTTTATTACAAAACAAAGAGTGGGAGATAGCAGGCATCGAACACAGTCCCCTTCGGTTCCGAAGGTTACGCTTCACCGCACATACGGGAGCAATAGAACAGTTAGTGCGTCATTCAGTCATCTCCAAAAATAAACCGCATGCACATCACGAGACTCATTTGCATGCAATGAAAGAAGTCGTGACGATTCTTATCCCCAGTTTCCAGGGTGTCCGCTAGGAACGCCTGGGAGTATGGCCTACTATTTGCATAGGACACACCCAAAAAAAGGAAAAAAAAACTCTCTGCTACAGCAAACTCGACTAATTATAGACTCCAAATAATTGTAGGTTTGATAGACGATCTTTCCTCGTCAAATGGAATCGTATTGAGTTAATTTACTTAACAAGCTTCCAAACTTATAGTTCTTTCGTATCACTCGGCTAAAGTTGACGGTGCAAGCTGTCGAGAGACCTTTAGTGTCTCCTTTTTTCTTCGGAGTAGCAGTCATCTTTAGCATGCTTCGATCATCCTGATGCTGGTTCGTCTTGATAGTGCAAAAATTCAGTGACTACGACTCCCCAATCATCTTCAGAAACTTGGCCTTTACTGGCACATTCCCTAGAGTCAGTTAAGTGTCTTAATTCACTTAATTCTGAGTCAATGGACAGTTTTAGGCCAAAGAACAAACCAGGAAAACCCAAAGAAATGACTGAGATCGAAGCGTCGGCAAAAGGTAAGCAAATCAACTGACGTCATGTGACGTCATCAGCCTGGCTCGGACCCTTTAACTCGTTCCCAGTCTCTCGGATATTTCTACAAGGAAAACTGCAGTTTATCGATGACGAAAATCGAAAGATTTCTTCTGAGGACACATGTTTGAACTTCAGAACTATTAAAATGCACATATTGAAGGACCAAAAACAGTGAAAAAAATTTTTGTGTCATATACACTTTTAATGCAAATCGGAAAATAATAGTTCTTTTTTTTACCGCTTCATCAGAACGAAAGATTATGTCGCTTTTATTTCATAGCCAGGAAACCCCTTACTCAAAAATAATGTTGTTCTCCTTTTTCTTTCGAAGTTAATGGCACATGTTTTAATACGCTTTGCATTTCGTGTTTAGTTTGCGGTGACAAGACTAGATGCTAAACTTCTGTGGAATTGAAGCGTCTTAGTACAGAAAATCACTCTTAATAGTTATGTAAATTTCGAATTAAAAATGGTTCAAAAAAGAAAAAAAATGGCTTAAAAATAATCCACTACAGGTTAACTCGAAAATTAAAATTAAGAAATTCATCGGTGTTATATATTGAGCAAAACGGAGTCCATAAGTACTATAGCTAATCATTTTGGACTTTAGCTTGTATTTTGTCGATTCTGAACTGCCGTGGTTAAATTTTAGCAGGTAAGAGACAAAACTAAACTTATTGGTAAGCACAATCTTAAACATGAGGTTTAAAGCCTTCATTAAATAAATGTCTCGGTAGACTGTTCACAGTCCCCTATTTTTTCGTGAGATCGTCGAGATATAGCGCGTCTTATCGTTAATGGCGGCCACCTTGATTTTCAAGTTTTGACACTCATGCAAGATGGCAGCCAGTAACGCAAAGCCCGCGATCTCGACCATCTTACGGAAAAATAGAGGACTGTGAACAGTCTAGTGTCTCGGTCCCTTAAATGATATTTTCAAGGGAATTTCAGTACGACAGAAAAGTGGCTAAAGGTCTGGTAAAGGTTTATGCAGTTTATTTACCCGAAAATTTCGAAGCTTGAAAGTGTGCCCATTTATTGAGCGTAAACGTCGGCTGCAACGACTACGCGGGGGTAGAGGGGATACCTGAGTGGACGCCAGAGGTTTTCTCGCTCACGAGCAGGGAGAAGCGTACCAACTGCTGAAGTCCTGGAAGGCGAGAGACACTTGGCGACTCTTGACTTCGTGACTGACTTCTGTTGCCTCGATACTCAATTCCGTTGCCCTTAAAAATGCAATCTGGCACCTAGGGTACAGCGGAAACTTCGCTAAAAAAATTTGTGTTTTTCCAGTTTTTGTTGGGGCGATTATTACTTCTGGATTTACCAGATTACGGTGAATTTTCCTGGATTTGTATTCTTGGGAACAACACCCAAGTTTTGAAAGAAAATTAAAGATATAATTGTCTTTTTTCACGTTCTTCATAAAACTGCCCATGAGGATAGTACGCGTCGCGTTGAGCCGTGTTTCGCTCATTAACACCCTGGTGTTTTTTCCGCGACCTGAGAAGTTCTTGATGTAGTCGCTGCTGGAAGAAAACGACGACGAAACCATTCATTTACTTGAAAAGGAATTTCACTTTTACACTTTCACATTGTTTTTTGATATATAACTACTAAATACTTTGTAGAACAGAGCCAAGTGCATGAGTCAGTTATTTACAGGAAAATAAGAAATTTCTGGTAAGCTCGATCTCACTATGTCTACATCATTTTTCATACAATGATTGCTCAGATGCTAAAATCGAAAAAGAATAAAAAATAAATAAATAAAATAAAACGAAACAAAAGAAAGGCATTTAGCGGTAGAGGGTTGTTCTACTTTTCCTACGATTATTCTTATAATAGCAACAAATATACAATTTAACTCCGTTCTCAACTTAGGATATGCAGTTCTTATCTTGTTTAATGAAGGTCACGATTACTATATTATAGCTACTATTAAAATCACAATTATTATTCAGATTTGTTATTACTAGCGGAGTTCTAGCTTACGCAAGCGGAGCACCATGGGTAAGAAAATTTGGTAAACTATCCATCCGAGAAAATTTGGTTATGAGGTAGCGTATGCCCACCCACCCGTACACGCGTTTCACGTAAGCTGATGTCAAATGCCACATTAGATCTTGCAGAAATTGACACTTGGTAATCCATCCGTGTGACGATGAATTGACAGCTGTCAAAATCAGACGTGCGCTGACAGTAATCACATGACCATCTCAAGGGGTTAGATGAAAGACCAGTCGTTTTTTCCCTACATATAAGCTGATACAATGTCACACTTACCCACATAACAATGAAAATGAAATGAAACTTCGCTTTCTCCGGGCAGGGCTGTCAGTCGGCTGCCAGTAGTTCAAAGCTATATGCACAAGCCAAATTAAGGTCAATTGATAGCTGTCAAAATGGGACATGTACAGACCACTATCAGATCACTAACAACGTGGGCTCAAATACACGATCTGACATTTCGCCCCCATTAATCCTCGATTACAACCCGGACTGAAATGTCTTACTCACACTCGCAGTCAACACGGTCCGTTTATAAGAAAATTCGCCTTTCTAATGAAGTTCAATTAACAGCTGTCAAACCAGAGCCTCCGCTGACCATCATCACATGCCCGTATCGCAGGTTCAGGTATCGGCTCACTGATTTCGAGTTTCTTAAGTTATCCGCTGACAAGTTACTACTTTTCAAATGATTGCAGGCTCAAGTTCATTTTTTTTTAATGCATAAGAAATAGGAAGTTGTGTTTATGAGCTGCGCTAGTAAACTTTTAATTTCAAACTGACCTCGCACGCGAGAATTCAGCCAGCTTTTACAGACAGGGAAGTTGCTTTTGACCTTTCTCACCATGGTCACGAGTTGGTGACGCTCTACGTCCAGTTTTTATGCTCTGATTGGTCAAAATTTGACAGGTGGGTTCGTGCAGAAAATTTATGCAGCATCTTGAAACTTTTTTAGTGAGAGGTCAAACTGACAGAGCCCTGTGTACCCTTGTCATTTTTTAACTCTCCTTTTCCAATGGATACACAAAATGAAATGAGCTGCACACAGCTGCTAGCATGATTTTTAAGTTATTCATGGATGGTTTGTTCATTGGAAATTGGTTAGAAATGTGCGGCTTGTCAAAGTCATCGGAAATCCAATTTCGGATGTATCTCTTTCACTCACTTTCCCTTGCTTAATACGTATTATACTGAGAGGGTCCAAAAAACTTTCAAGTGATTCTGTTGGCCTTCAGGAGCTACATCTTGACTGGTAAGCCGGAGTTATTATTTTATTTGATGTTTTTTTTTTCTGGTTTCCTAAAATCGAGCGTACTTTCTGGGCCTAGTTTATGCACACGACAGTGATCTGACCTACAATAGCATCAGGTTTGATATAAGCTTACAGATTTTTAAAAGTCCTAACATTTTCTGGCCGCAAATACATAGAAAACGTTTCGATTTAGTTATGATGTTGGCTGTAAAAAGAAAGCTCTGAGCGATACTCTTGCCTCTCGGTTCATCTTGAAGTATAGCAAACACCAGGAAGCCGGCTTAAGACATAAATCTGCAAGGTTTTAAGAGGAGGGCGTAATGGTCTGCGGTGATACGGTTTTGCTCGATTTTTGGTGCGGTTTTGCGGAAATTGTTATTTTAAGTTGCAATATTGCGGTTTTACAATTCCAAGCGGTTTGCGGTATTTAGAAATTTTCGGGTAATTTCAATGCGGTTTCCGGTTTTCTTATTTTATTCTGTGCGGTGATTATACATGCTTCTTTGCGGTTTTGCAGTTTTCGTATCCCCCTTACGCCCCCCTCTCGGTAGGTTTACAGGCGTATGCTTACCTGACTCATGATGTTCAGCGACACTTTACTTTCAAAACTTATCTTCGTGAATGAAAATTGTTGTCTCTGTACATGTTTCACCGAATTATATTTATTTTACTGATTGTTGGTAGGCTCTTTCGCAATTTTTTTTCGCTGCGCCTGTTGTTTCCAGACGAACATATAACAAAACATCGCAATTAGTATTACTCAAAATGTCGCGCATAAATAACAAACGCTTTTAAAGATAACACGTAAAAAAACCAAAAATAAAGGGAAATAAAACCTGAACATAGTAAGTTCTCTATAATGTTGAAGCTTAACTCTATAAATGTTAATTCAAACGGCTCCGACAGCTCGGACTGCAAATTTGATGCTTGACAGAAGTTGTGAGAACCGGTGTGGCTGGCCGTATATATCCATTAGGTGATTTTGGGCATTTTTTTATCGTTTTCACTAAAAGCCCATAATTATTACCCTGCATATAGGAGCAGATGTTTCCGACTAAACAGTTCCGGTATGATGGAAAATTCTTTTCGTGTGGCTTCGATCGTCCTGGATATTGAGTGAGCGCAATTGAAATGTCTTGCAAAATTGTGAACAACTACAGAATTATAGGTTTAAATAGGCCAAGGAAGAACAAATTCTGTTCGCGGTTTCTGTATGATAAAAAAGGCACACAGGCACGGTACTGTTTTCCTCAGTACTTATGTACAAAAACATTGATAAAAAGTACTTATTTGAAAGACTGGTTTACACACCACCTGATCTGTAGCCAAGATTTACTTGTAAAGTAAACCTGTCGATCACAAATCTTTTTCGAAACACAAAAAATCCCGCCTGACTTTTATCATTTTGGCCTTCTCTTTAGACAGAGGAATGCAAGTTTAAATTGGCTGCAACCGAGGACTATCGTGTGTTGCATAAAATTATGTTTTGGGGATGTCCAATTATTATAATCATATCTCCATAGTCTCTCCAACGGAGTGGTTAGAGAGACTACGGATTAAAATAAAAGTGGACGTGGTGTAGGTGGGTGACTGGGCTTAACATCCTTGTCTAGGAAAAATTTGTTTTCTAGTCCTAATGTACTGTGATCGAAGAAGATTGCTATTTTCCGGTGTACATATAAGACTATTAACTCGATGTAAAATTTGTTTCACTCTTGCACTGTCAAATTATTTTTCTCTAAAACCACTTTCCCTAAATGTACCTTAAAGTTAACTGATTAATGTTTGATTTAAATTATTAATCTATTGACGTGAGCTTCGCTTTTAGCCCTGGATTGTAAATAGGATTTTAATTGAGGTTTTGTAATAAAGATTTTAAATTTTAATCTATGTTATTATTATTATTATTACAATCGGAGCTCTCTTAAGCGACCACCTCGGAAATTCGAAAAGTGGTCGTAACCAGTTCTGGTCTCTTACGAGAATGAATTCTCGTAAGCGACCGCATGGTAAAACAATAGGGGGAAGTCGCTCACGAGTTTTTCGGAAACTCTTTAATAATTCATAGAGAAAAACAAAAGAAATTGATGTTTAATGATATTTTTTATATCTGACATAGACACGGCTATATTTTACGTCCATTTTTTTGAGACAATTAGCGCAGTATGCAGTTTCGTCAAAGTGTTGATTTATATGAATAAGACTCTGAATGGTCGCTCACTGGTAAAAAACCTAAGACCCTGTTTACATGGAGTGGGGGACCGCGGTCTAGTGGGGTAGGTTTCTTTTGTTTTGTGTTCCCCAGAGCGTGAAAACAAAAGAAACCAACCCCACTAGACCGGGGTCCCCCACTCCATGTAAACAGGCCCTAAGAAAAGTTCCCGTTGGGCAATCCCAAAAGTGGCCGCGGTCGCTTACGAGAGCGTTTCTTCCAAGTCACAATTGAAACAGGGTTCCACTAAGGTGGTCGTAACTAGAGCTTGTCGCTTACAAGAGTGGTGGCAAGGAGAGCTTTGACCGTATTTTTATTATTACTACATACACATTCATGAATGAATTCACCCGTCAAAACGACAGTCGTCTTGATTGGCTCCAAGTATGGGGTCGACATCTTGCCACAGGACTCCTAAGCTTTATCTTACGGTTAGAGTATACGCTAACGTGTACATACAATTTGTTTGTTTTTAGACTACACCTCAGTATCACGCTGCGCCGGAAAGCACAAGATGGAAGATCTATCTTGTTTTGCTCCAGAAATATCCATGTCGTTCCAAAAGAGATATTTCCTGTTCACTGCTTGGTTTTCTATCCCTACAATGCTATTGGGTATTTGGTGCTTTGTGTCCAATGCAGCTGTCATTATAGCATTGTTTAGAAGTGGAATCAATTCCGCTCGTCCAGGCCTTTTAATTCTATGCAGTTTGTCATTCACTGACCTTATTTGGGGGGCGACAGTTGCTCCAATGGAATCTGCGTTGAGATGGAAACATTTATTTAACACAAAAGTTTGTGAAGTGTACTCAGAATGGAGGGAGAGGTTTTATTGACAGCGATTCTTTACAATGCGACTGTCCTAAACCTTTGCATCGTGAGCATCGATCGTTTCCTGGCCATCAAAGTCTCTTTTCAGTATAAGGTGTGGGTGACCCGGCGAAGCGCTCTTTTTGCTTGTATATTAGTATGGCTTGTGTCGATTTTGCTCTCATGTCTAAGCAAAGTAGGGTTTATTACATCAGACGTCACCCATGTCATAACTTTAACGTTGATACCTCTCGCATTATCTGTTATCATCATTCTCCAAATAAAATCTATTCATGTCCTTCGTCGCCACAACAACAATATTGCTGACATGATAGAGCAAGGAAACCAAGCCAATCCGGCTAACAGTGTCAATGCCGTAATTGAACGCAAACTAACAAAAACGACAATATATGTTGTGGGCATATTGTCATTGGTGTTTATTCCTGCGGCCTTTGCAATAATGATAAGTGTCATTACAAAAAAGCGATTCCTTTCTCTCATGGTTCCCCTGTTCACACCTTTAATGACTTTGTGTTCTGGAATTAATCCAGTGCTGTATTATAGGGGAAATGAAAGAGTTAAACGAGGAATAGCTAAGTTCTTTAAATGTCATTAAGTATCGCCTCGTTTCCAGGATTTCTTAGTGAGGAAGGAAGATGCATTCAGCACATTTATTATGCATTTAAAATATTTCTCATTATCGGTGATTGGCTTAAATTTCCAGCTAGCGCTGAACAAACCTACTGAAAGGTAGGTATTTGCCGATATCAGAAGTCAATCGTATTGTAATCGATAGGAAAAGGGAAGCACATACGTCACCGAAAGAAATGGTACAGTGGGGCAGCCGCTTTGGCAAAGCCTTAAAATGGCAGCAGATTCACAGGTTTGCGAAAAAGAAATAGCCAACGTGTTGAAACGTGATGAAATAAATAACTACTGGAATAAACACCCTTGAATACCCTGATACTGCTAGGGAACAGTCATATATATTAAAGAAGGGAGTTTTGCATTAATTATTATTGGTGCTCCCACAAAGTAAGAGCACTGTCGCAGAGATGTGGCCTGGCCATTTGCAGATATCAGGGCAAATTAAGGCAGCCTATATTTTCAATCATTGATAGTCCGTGAGCTATGCTCTGGCCTGAAATCGAAGCTGGGTACACCACTTGACGAGCCAACATATTGCGCTGACAACACGGCGGTTGATCTTAAGCGTGACTGAACTAATGAAGCCCAAAGCTCTATGTAAGGGTTCGGAGGAAGGAAGCTCGAAATAAGACTTCCTTGAAAGTTCTGAAAGACAGTATAGCGAAACCTGTGGAGGACTGATAATAATTTATCCGAAATCATGTGTGCAGCAAAATTAGAGCGACCAGTGTCGCCTTATCGCCTTGTAACCCAATCAGTTTTTCCTTCCTGATGGCAATTAAAATAACATAAATGCTAAGTATTGTGACTCAGTCTCGGGTGTAAGATTTATTTTGCCTTTCGTATACTTTATGATGGTGAATGCAGAATAAAAGAAACGAAGAATTACCTGAAAGTATTGTATATATTTAATTGTCTCTCTCCTTCACACTACTCCCTTGGAATATTCTTTTGTTCACCCTACCATCCTCAAAAGTTCTGGAAACAAATGTGCTATTTTTAGAACAAATTGCGCCACCCTCAACGTCACAAACTCGCGCGAGAACCCGCGAATTTGTCCGGCTCTCATGTGGAATTTCAGGAGAAGGGCAATCGTTTTTCGACTTTATTTGAATGCTCTCTGAACTTTCAAAGTGCTTCATATCTCGATAGGCAATGTATGCTCTGTGGAAGAATGAACCAATGTTATGTAAGAGGGTCTCAATTGGGTTAACCGTCAGCCGTCAAACTGCCTAAAATTTAACCGTCAACCGTCAGAAAAAGGTTATTTTTTACCGTTCAAAAGGCTATGCCAGCCCAGGCTGGGGCCCATTTCAGCCCTTGAATCCAAATCAGCCCTAGGTAATTGGACTGTTTTGGCCCTGATTTAAGGGAGCCAAATTAGACTCAAAATTAAATGGGACTGTATTTAACTCTCCGAAACGGCCCCATTTTTAAGGCTTAAACAGATCTTTCTGATTTACAGCCGAGTGGAGAACCATGGGTAAAAAAAATTCTTTCTCTACAGCTCCTGTTATCTACGCATCCAAGAAATTTTGGTTCTTAAAAAAATCGTCAGTACGCCGTTCGTCCGTCCACTCCTTCATGTAAGCCAGGGTGAATTTTTGCACTTCAAGCACCCTCGCGTTTTAGCGGTAAATCGCATGGCCACCGGACTTTTAGAGGGAAAAAACAACAACAACAACAAATCCGAGTCTTTCCTTCGACTAAATAAGTTTTAATGTCTACATTGACGTTGATAACAGAAGAAAGAGCTAGAGCGAGAGATAAAAACCGCAAAGGAATCATATATTTCGTTGGAAGAAGAACATGACAATTTTCTCGCGGCGCGGTGAGGAAATAAGCAGCGACCAAGGTTATAATGAGCGGCAGTGAAAAAAAAAAAAGAAAAGAAAACAGCAGCAACGACAAAAACAGTCGCGAACAAGTCAAGAACAGCTCAGCACATACGGAATTTCCTCCATAAAACGAATAAAACGTGCAAGTAAGAACATAGTCGTGCAAAACAACAGCAAAGAAATGTACAAAAAAGTGTGCTGCTCGGGCAAAGTTATCTCTTTTTTTTTTTTTGCTTATTAGGCCTATTGCTTTTTCTGCCGTTCTCGTTGCCGTCGCCGTTTGGCATGAATGGATTTTGTTTGAGTAAACTATAAGTATATTAACCAGGGGCACCCAACGTCAATTTTCGGAAAATATCTGTTCGGGAGACGATTTGAGATCTAGAATTTTCGGAACATCTGTTGTAAAATTTCTTGCTTGCCTGCCTCTCCTAGGATTTTCGAACATCTAAAACATGGCATAATTGCCAATTTTTAACGGATTTTTACCCCAAAAAGATCAGCTAGAATTTTCGGGAGCCTTTTTTCTGGCTGAAATTTTCGAAAAGGTAAGTTTTGATCCCTATCATTTTCGGATCACTAGAGTTTCAGCTAGGAAATCGAAACAGTTGAAAAATTTTTAGGGGATAAAAGTATGCCTATATCTACCGTTTCAATACTAAAATACGTTTAACAATGCTATGTTTAAGTGGTTTTGAACTATATTCTCGTTGGGTGCCCCTGATTAACGAGAGCTTCGGGTTTAGCCCTGGCTAAATCTGTATTTGATATTGGTTTGGAATCTGTGAAAGGCAAAAAGGAGATTTACTGAAGCAATTGCTCGTTCAATAACATGTTACATTTGTCCTACTTTTAGCCATTTATCCAAATAACCGTTTAAATAACTGTGATCCATTCGAAAGACCGGTTTCTTATAGTATGTTACGTAGGAGATATTGAACATGCAATTTGCACTATATTGTGTGAGTAACTTTGAGGTGTCGATATAATATTCTTATAACGTGTGCTATACTAAGCCGTAAAATTTTCATGATAAATTATTATTAAATGTAAATCCGTAGAAAAGCCTTTTTTTGCAGATTTATCAGTACGAAACCTTATGCTGCTTAAATATACATGGTCAGAGAACCCTCAAATTTGATCTGAACAAAGCGGCGACCCCTTGGCGCTATAGGCCTTCCAAAAATACATTTTTTTTCTTTCGAAGTTAAATGTAATCTAACCAAAGGCAATATAACTATTGGTTTTTTTGTTTGTTTGCTTGTTATTAGTATGCGGTAACAAGACTTCATGCTAATCTTCAGTGAAATTGAAGCGTCTTATAGGAAATTCGAATGTCTTAAAAGAGCTTTTAAAGTAATCCACCACAGCCGGTTAACTCAAAATTTACAATTAAGAAATTTAGCTTATATTTTAGCAAAAACGCAGTCCATAAGTACGGCTAATCACTTTGGACTTGTATTTTGTCGTTTAGTGTTGGGTGCAGTTTCCAGCTAAGTGTATAAACTTTTAGGAGGTAAGGAACAAAAACCCGCCAAAGTTATTGCCAGGAACGATGTTAAACATGAAGTTTATAGCCTTCAAATAGGGAGCTTAAATCAACGACGACGGTTACGTTACATTTCTTTGCTGTCACTGTACCACTAGGTCGTGAAAATGCCTAATTTCACTTTTAATAGAGAACGTGAACTCAAGACAACGAATTTCTTTTCCTTTTCCTGAACTTCGATAATGTCTATTAAACTCAATTCCAGAAAATATTGCCAACATTTGACGAATTGAACGAGATGGAATTATCGCTGTAAAGTTTGAAGTAACGTGACTTCACTTTTTGAGTGACGAGTCGTTGTCGATGCTGCTTAAGCACTCTCGGTCCCTTAAACTAGTAGTGAAAAGACGTATTTAAAAAAGTGTGATTGGCACTTGTACAGCCTATATATATATATATATATATATATAAACGTTTTGGCAAAGTTTTGAGCAATTTACCAGAAAATTGCCAACCTGAAATAGCGGTCATATTAAGCTGTAATCGTCGGCTGCAACGCGGCGTACGCTACGACCCGGCAGCAGGTGGAATTTTTTTAAAAAGAATATTGGTGTCTTTCCAATTTTCATCGCGATTATTCTATCTCGCTTTACTAGATGACGGTGTATTTTCCTGGATTTGTATTCTTGGGAACAACATCTAAGTTTTGAAAAAGAAAGATGAAATCGTCGTCTTTTGTTGCGTCGCGTTGAGTCTTGTTTTGCACATATGATTAAACCTATTGCTTGTTTGCTTTTGACGTTCTTGTTGCTGTCGCTTCGTCGTTCCTAACACTACCAGTCACTGTACCATTCCATACGTTAGGGGCGGTTTTTGAGTGAGTTTCAGCATAGCGAAGTGAAAAATTCTTGCCTTTAGCTTTATTTCATTTGGGTAAAACTGCGAAGCTTGAATAGGCGGTAGTTGAATGTAACTTAGTTTATTAGATATTGCAGCGAGGCACTGCATCACTCAGCCGACAAGAATGGAAATTATAGGTTTAAATTTAGTCTTTAAAAAAAAAACAACAACAACAACACACACAAACAACTCACCGGGCAATACGATACAAAAGAGGATCCATAAAAATTTACATTGGAATCAGCTCGTTCAGCGTGTAAAAAAGCCATGAAAATAAATAATAACTAAACGACAAAATAACAGTTTTATAACTCCATATCTGGATGTGGATTTATCATTTAATAAGTGATATAAAAGTGAAAGACATTTTGTTTTTTCTATTCTTTTCTTTTATTTCTTTTTTTTGAACCACTTTAGAACTAAACTAAACAATGGAAGACCAATATGATCAGACGTGTCTTTCAGCAGGAATTTCCGTGTCATTCCAGAAGCATTACTCTCTACTATGTCAACTGGGTTTCTCCAATCACGATGCTGCTGAGCATTTGGTGTTGTTTTGTGTCCAATGCAGCTGTCATCGTAGCGTTATTGAGAAGTGAAATCAAGTCCATTCGTCCAGGCCTGTTATAATTAATGCTATGCAGTCTCTCCTTTACTGACCTTTTTCGGAGTGTTATAGTTGCTTTAACGGTTCTTTTTATCAGATTAAGGCACCTACTAAACAGTCAAGTTTGCCAAGTG